CAACGCCGACTAAATCCAATCATGAAAGAAGTGGTAAGAAAAGAAGTGATTAAGTGGCTTGATGCAGGTATTGTATTTCCAATCTCTGATAGTAAATGGGTAAGCCCCGTTCAATGTGTGCCGAAGAAAGGGGGGATAACCGTAGTAGTTAATGAAAATAATGACTTAATTCCTACAAGAACTGTCACTGGATGGAGAATTTGCATAGATTATAGAAAACTGAACAATGCCACCCGGAAAGACCACTTTCCCCTTCCCTTTCTTGACCAAATGCTTGATAGATTAGCTGGCCAGGAATACTACTATTTCCTGGACGGTTATTCGGGGTACAATCAGATTGCTATAGCCCTAGAAGACCAAGAAAAAACTACATTTACATGACCTTATGGCACGCATGCGTTCAAGAGAATGCCCTTCGGTCTTTGTAATGCACCTCCGACTTTTCAAAGGTGTATGATGGCTATTTTTACTGACATGGTTGAAAGATTCGTAGAAGTATTCATGGACGATTTTTCTGTGTTTGTATTTTCTTTTGATAGTTGTTTGATGAACCTTGATAAAGTGCTTGCTAGGTGTGAAGAGACGAACCTGGTGCTAAACTGGGAAAAGTGCCATTTCATGGTACGTGAAGGTATAGTTTTGGGGAACAAGGTTTCAAAAGATGGTCTACAGGTGGATAAAGCAAAGGTGGAGACGATTGAAAAATTGCCCCCACCGACATCCGTCAAAGGCATTCGCAGTTTCTTGGGTCATGCAAGTTTTTATCGTCGTTTTATTAAAGATTTTTCAAAAATTTCTTCTCCTTTGTGTAGGCTTCTAGAGAAAGATGTTTCCTTCAAGTTTGATAATGCATGTCTGAAAGCATTTGAGGAGCTGAAGGGACGATTGGTGACTGCGCCAATTATCATTGGCCCCGATTGGGCACAACCATTTGAGTTGATGTGCGATGCAAGTGACATAGCAATTGGAGCGGTGTTGGGGCAAAGGAGGGATAAAATCTTTCACTCCATTTATTATGCGACCAAAACTATGAATCCAGCTTAGATGAATTATACAGTTACTGAAAAGGAGTTGCTTGCAGTGGTGTGGGCGTTTGACAAGTTCAGATCCTATCTAGTGGGAACCAAAGTCATCGTCTATGCTTCTCCTACTTTCAGTGGCGCAATTACTGAGGATGCGTAGGGTTTTCTAGAGAAGTGCCATTGTATTCTCTGCACCATGGGTATTGTGGAGGTGAGAGGAGTAGCCTTTACTATATTTCAAATGTAAGGGGCGGCATATTTGTGGTGACAGGCTTATGAGGAGGGTAGACCAGCTGATGCGGCACCACTCAATTGGACTCAGTTTTCAGAGATGTTTTTGAGGGAGTTTATTCCCAGACCCTCAGGGATGAGTGGCGCATAAGAGTTCGAGCAGATGAAAGAAAGAATGGTGCGCTTATTTTGGAAAATAATACACCACTAGCGGAAATTGAAAAAAAAAAAAGAAAAAAAAAGAGAAAAGAGAAAGCTTTGTTGAATAAATTGTTGTCTTGTTCTTGCTAGTGGGTATGAATGAAAGTAGTGCTTAAAGAAAGAGGAAATATTGTTGGGGTGA